CCATTTTCTCTCTCTCTCTCTCTCTCTCTCTCTCTCTCTCTCTCTCTCTCTCTCTCTCTCTCTCTCTCTCTCTCTCTCTCTCTCTCCCTTTTGCCGTCGTCGCAGCGCCATCACCGCCGCCGGTCACGCCCGCCGGATCGCCGCTGCTCCACCGCCGAGCCTCAAGCCCCCTCCCCCCAAGCCGCCGTTCTCTCTCTCCCTCTCGGTCTTTCTCTCTTGGCCGTGAGCCCCCAACCACCGCCCAAGCCGCGCCGTCGTTACCCAAGCCGATCGTCACCACCCGGGAGCCATACGCCGTCGCCGCCGTCCCCGATTTAGTTCCGCCGCTCTCCGTTCTAGCCGCGATAGTCTAGAACGCGGGTAAGTCGCGCCTAAACCTCATTTAGGACTTCGGGTATCGACGGGCGATTTTGGGCGAAATCTGTATAAAGTTAGGTGCGGAATTGTATGAATTGGTAGTGGAAATTTTATGGCGGGCCTTGAGATTTAATTCGGGCATTAATTATTGGAAATTCAGAAAAATAGGGGCTGCGAATTACTGTTCACGAGCTGTGATTTACTGTTCACGGGGCCGTGATGGTCCGATCGGGACGCAAGTTGGATTTCTAGAACCGAGATTTAATGGTGAGAAAGTCCCGTGAAGGACCGGAATCAATTTGGTGTTGTTTGGCCGGAGAAAAATAGGAATTTATGTGTTTTATGTGTGTTTTAATTATAATTGAGTTGGGATGGTGAAATTTACAATATGCGGGTGCGAAAAATTGGGGTTTATGATTGGAATTGTTTGGCGGGCCTTGAGGATTATTTTTGGAATTTTTGGAGAACAATTTGAGGTGAATTATAAGTTGTGAGTTACTGTCACAAGCTGCGAGTTACTGTTCACGGGGCTGTGATGATTTGTTCGGGACGCAAGTTGGATTTTTAGAACCATTATTTAATGGCGAGAAAGTGTCGTGAAGGATCGGAATTAATCCGACGACATTTGATTGGAAAAAAAAATTGGCAATTTACGTGTTTTGGGCATGTTTGAATTATTCTGGATGGGGTTGATTTAATTGAGTATTTGTTTGTGTGTTAGATGAGGTAACTCGAGGATGAAATGAGGATGTTTCGAGGCTGGAATGAGACTGAATAGAGTGTCGGATGTTGTGGGATGGAATTGGCAAACTTAGGGCTCGATTTAAGGCCAGGTAGTGTCGGTTTGGTGTGTGGTAGTATGGTTAGATTGTGATGTTTAATAGGCTTGGAAATGTCGAAATTATGCCTATAAACGTGGCTGTGATTGTGGGTCCATGAGCGACCTTGTGTGTTTATTGAACCGTGATTTGATGGATTGAAATGTGCTTGATTATGTGCACGCGTGGGCCAGATTGAATTAATTGTTGAAATTGACCATGTCGAATACTGAGTGAGCATGTTTTACGTGTTAATTGATGCGTGCACGGGTCACTTGTGATGGGCCAGTTGAGTGTGGTAAATGCTTGATGAGCATGTGCATGAGTAAGAAAGAAAAGTGGTGTGGCATGTGATAGTGGAAGTTATGTGAAGGTGTGTAAGTGCGAGAATGGGATCGGGCCGAGTATCATAAGCTCGGGCAGCGATCATGTAGGTCTGTTGCATTTGGCACAGGCTGAGGCTTGAAAAAGCAAGTATGAGATTCGGTCCGAGGCATGACCAGCTCAGGCGAGACCGGGATTGGACCGAGGCATCATAAGCTCGAGTTCCAATCATGTAGGCCTGTCGCATTTGGCGCGGGCTGAGTTGGGATCGGGCCTGGGGCGTGTGATGCTCAGGTCGCGATTGGGGCCTGAGGCGTGAACGGGTACGCGGACCGGATGTGGTGAATGATCGCAGTGTGCCTGAGGCGTGTACTTCAACGCGGGTCACTGGCGAGTGTTGTGGAAAATGAATTGTCGCAGTGTGCCTGAGGCGTGTACTTCAACGCGGGTCACTGGCGAGTGTTGTGGAAAATGAATTGTCGCAGTGTGCCTGAGGCGTGTACTTCGACGCGGGTCACTGGCGAGGAATATGAAGAGGAATGAGGATGGAAGGAACAGTGGGATGAGAATGATACATGTGCGTGTGTACATCTGACATGATTGAGTTTGAATGCTCATGCGTGCATTATTGAGCCTGACCGTCTTAATTGATGTGCCTGTGATGTGATTACTTGATGTTCGTGAATGTTTGTGATTGCGTAATTGTCTGGAGGTACGTGATAGCCTAGGTGGGGTTTAGAGGTGAACTTACTGAGAAGTGTTCTCACGGTTGTTTCAACCGACAATTTCAGAACCCCGACAGGAACCATGAATCCTCCACCACCGCCGCCAGTACATTTTGGGATACCAGTGCACGCGGAATACGATGTGGCTGAGTTTCCGGTGGGTTTCAGAAGGGTAACGACGTTTTTGGAAGTTAGTATGCCAGGTCGTCTGTTTTTGTTCTTACTTTCGAGGGTTTTAGGAATATGTGTACTGGTAAACTAAGGTTTGTTCTATTGTAAATATGGTGGAATAAGTTTGATAGAGTACTGGAAATGTATATTCTCCCAATTCTCCCCAGTTTAATTTGTCCGGGTATTTTTTTTGGTTTCCGTTTGCGCAATGAAATCTCTGATGTTTAGTTGAGGTCGGCGATAACCTGGGACGTCGCAACTATTCGACCGGAGGCGGGATGTCGCGGGCTCGACGGGGGTTCGGGGTGTGACAATTGAAGACTCATATATGACCCATTTTGATAGGTCTAGTAATCAACAAGTTACCGAAAAATCAAATGACGAATAATTTCTTTACAAACTATTTTGTGACACTTACCAACTCTTTTAGAAATATATTAGTATAGAAAAAGATTCCTTTTTATGAGAAACGGAATTGACAGAAGAATTGGTTTCAGCATTTTATGCCATTGCTTGAAAGCTCTTGCTAAAATTATCCGGCTATTAGACCAACTCTAGCTATATGATTATATTTAATTAATCATATTGTGTTACCAGATCGTCATTACATAGATTAGACAACTTAAAGACATCAAACCAATAAGATGTTTTCTGCTCTGATCCTATTTGATATCTTCAATCATGAACTCATAGTTTCTTAGGCTCCGTTTGTTTTGCGAAAATGAATGATTCTAAAAAAAATTTCCTGGAAATAATCGCTTATTTCACTTGAAAAAGATAGTTGGTAAAAAATATTTTCATTGTCAATAACAATTTATGTCTAAATATTTTTGTGGACAATGAAAATATTTTCATTCGTTCATTTTTTTGAGCGATGCAGGCGATCGATTTTAGGAAAATGTTTTCCAAAACACTCGCTTTTCGTGAAACAGACACACATTCAGGCTCCTTTTGTTTCGTGGAAAATCAATGATTTGGAAATCATTTTCCTAAAAATGGACGCTTATATAACTTAAAAAAATGTACAAATGAAAAAAAATTTCATTGTCCACGAAATTATTTAGACATAAATTATTGTCGATAATGAAAACATTTGTCATTGATTAATTATTTCAAGCGATACAAGAGATCATTTTTAAGAAAATATTTTTTAAATTATTTATTTTTCGCAAAACAATGAGAGCCTTAAACAAAAACAAAAAATTATCTTTATCATTTTGTATGTGGCGAGGGGTGATCTCTTGCTTCAAATACTCAACTTAAACCAAAGTCCATAGCTCGCATATTAGTGAAGCCGAGCACCACGCCGGTATCTCAGTCGTCCCAAAACCCGTAAATCCTACATCAATAACATGCGAACGTGCGAGTTTCATCATTAAAATCTCAATTTGTTAAAAAACTTCCGACGTTCGGTTCACGAAAAATAAACCAATCAAGGAAAATATTTTCCGTCAATGAACACTACAAAAAAACATGGATTTTGCCATGGAAATTTGCGACGGGAATTTTTCGTCGCTAATTTGCGACGGAATTTGCCACGAAATAAAAATTCGCCACAAATTTGCGACGGAAAAAAAATCCGTCGCAAAATCCGTCGGAAATTTGCGACGGATCTATTTTCCGTCGCAAAATCCGTATCAAATTTGCGACGGATTCCAAAAATTGTATTGCATTTTCCAAAAATTTGCGACGGAAAAAGAGGGAAACAAAATATGTTTGTCGCTAAAATTTGCGACGAAATATAAAATTCGTCGCAAATTTTATTAAAAAAAGAGCGCCCCAAAGCCCCGCCCTCACCCCCAATCTCTCTCTCTCTCTCGCTCACTGTTCTCCCTCACTCACCCTCTTCTCCTTCTCCTTCTCGCTTCTGCTTCTTCCCTCTCCCCCACACCCCTAAACCTCTCGCGCTCGCTAAGGGTTTTCGGTACCCCCTTCCCCCCGCGACTCCTCGGCCATGGCCTCCGGCGCCCTAGAGGCCGCGGAGCCCAAAGGGGCGGCGGCTCCTCCCCCCGTCGAGGGCAAGGAGGTGGTGGTCGGCGGCGACGGATCGGAAGCAGAGGATCAACATCGACGACGTGCTCTCGGCCTCCGGTACGCGCGCGCGGTCTTCCACCAGATGCGCCGACCCAATTGCTTTTCTTGGAACTCCATCATTATGGCTCTTGCCGAGAGCGACGACGACACCACAAAGTTGGAAGCTCTGGCTCTGTTCCGCGAGATGGTCCGGGGTGGCCACGTGGAGCCCAACGGGTTCACGTTCCCTCCGGTGTTGAAGGCTTGTGCGAGGTTGGGGATGGTGAAGGAAGGGAGGCAGGTTCATGGGATGGTTGCTAAGTGTGGTCTGGATGGTGACGAGTTTGTTCTTAGTAACCTTGTCAGAATGTATGTGCTCTGCGGTGTCATGGAGGATGCTTACGTTTTGTTTGATGAGAGAATTGTTCGGAGTGGTGGAGTGGGGAAGAAGATGAATCTCAGGAGGCAAGAGGGGGACGTGGTTTTGTGGAATGTGATGGTCGATGGGTATGTTAGAATGGGGGATCTTAGAGCTGCTCGGGAGCTGTTCGATAAAATGCCTCAGAGAAGTGTTGTGTCGTGGAATGGGTGACTTTGGGTGTGTTTTTGAGATTGGCCCTGTTTTTAGGGCAGAAAACTCCTTCACACATAGGCATTTGTGTGAATTTACTGGCCTTGATGTTGAAATGGAGATTAAGAAGCACTATTGTGAGGTTGGATTGGATACTTTTTCATTTAACTGAATTTTCAGTTTAGCTTAACGAACTAAACGTTTATGTGCAGGTAATGGACATTGTGGACAAGTTGTTCGTTACAATGTTCGACTCATTGAAGGCGAGTTGCAAGAAAGAACTTGAAGCTATTGGAAGACAATACCCCTTTGAACCTTTAAAGGTTATACTATGATCTTTTTTTTTTTTCTTTTTTGCAATCTGATTACATAAATAGTGCAACTCATGGGCAGTAACTTTTAATTGCAGTACTTGAGAAAGACCTTGTGGCTTACTTTTCAAGAAGATGTTCAAATGCTCAAGGTGAGGAAAAAATTTTCGGCAGCTAAATAGCTGCCCATAAAACAAAAGGGAACAAATAGAGTAGCAACATATCGGTTCATTGGCACTTCTTTAACATGGCTGTAAAAGTAGGACAATGAGTTCTCTTGCTGATTTTTTGTTTGTTGCTTTTAAATGAAACTGATTGTTTGTGGTAGCACTCCTCTTACCTGATGATTTGTTCTGTTGGAAGAGGAACCGCAAGAAAGTGATATTTACAACTATATGCCGTGCACGTGTACATTGGGGGCTGATTTGTTCTTGGCTTTTGTTGCTTTAGCTTGATTTTGTTGTTTGATCTGATTCAGGGCTGATTTTGTTGGTTGTTTTGATATTCGCGAAAATGGAGGATCTCGTGGCTTTGTTTGAGCCCATTGCATTGTCTCCGTCGGAGTCTTCGATAATATTGCTACTCCTGGTTTTCTCATGTTTGCTTTAAGCTGGTTTGGTTTTGTTGTCTCTGTTTTTTCTCTCTTTTGACTGTTCTCCTTTCGGCTCTACTATAGCTCATAGCATCTGAATATATTTTACTCGTATTCTTGCAATGCAAAGGAAAAGAGGCAATAGATTCTAAGAAGCAAATGTGATTTGGTATGTTAACCTATATTGGCATATTGTATTGGGCTACATAGCTTAGCTGGGTCAAAACTGATGTGATTGGTTCCATCTTTTTCCTCTCCTTGCTTTTAGTCGTGGGGCTTGGGTTTTTGAGGATGGGAATGAATGGGGCAATCAAGAGTCCAAAACCCCTCTTTTGTCTTCTGGTCTTGGGGGTTGCACCAGGTGTTATTTGCTTTTTTAGAAAATACCCTGTGGGAGAATTATGGCTTCATTCAAAATGATTGATTATTTGAATGCAGTGATACCTGCTTAGAATCATGCATTTGTGGAAAGTCATGTGTATTGTTCTTTGCACATTGCGGGTGCTGGAAGCACTCCACTTCATTATGCTGCTTGTGGTGGAAGTGTGCAGTGTTGTCAGGTATTTTGTGGTAGCTAAAAGATAAATAGCATCCAATATCATTCTTTATTTTGTTCATGTCACTTACATAAATGTTTTTTTTGTGGTGGAAGTGTGCAGTTGTGGATAGTGAACCAGTTTGGAACACCTACGTTGCACCTTTGTTTCTTTACTTCTATTAGATTTATCACTGAAAGTGAACTTCAACATTTTTCCTCTATATTTCATTTACCTTCGTTGCTTTACTTAATTAAGATTGCTTGCTTCACAGTCATTATGTATCCTTTAGAAGCTGAATATATTAACATTTAATGTGGACACAATGTCACTAATTTTGTGTCTAATTCCAGACAATTTGTGTTTCGTAGAAGAATAGCTTTGAGCAATTCTGCATTAAGTTATGCAAATGAGAGGTTGCAACAACATTTCAACCGGCATTTGTTAAAACTGGAGCAGGAAGTGAGCATCTCACATGGACCGTGTCTTTAGTTTTGTTTAGTATTTTATATGATGGGGATTGTCGCTAAAAGCAGGATATTCTTTTTTGATTCAAATCTGTCGTCATTATTTATTGTGAAAGATTATTGTGCAAGATTATTTATTCTCTCATTATGTGTACTATAAAAAAAAATATTTATGTCAATTCTTGTGGAAAATGTAGATGAATGTATTTCATTTTCATATTATTATAATATTTTGATGTTATTAATTGCTTAATCAATGTTAAATATAAATTCCAAAAATTAATTTTGCTTTTAATTAGGTTTAAAGTCAAAAAATAAAATAAATTATTTTATCGTACGATCACAAATTACAAAATTTCGTTGCAAAAATAAAATTTCGTTGCTAATTTTGTCCCTAAACGATAATCGTCGCAGAGTTCGTCGCTAAAGAATTAATAAAAAATCGTCGCTAAATTCGATCATAAATAATGTTGATGGCAAATGTAAAAAAATTTGGTGGCAAATTAGCGACGAATTTTGCCATGAATAAGTTCGCTGCAAATTATTGACCAAAATTTTTTTTTTGGCAAATTAGCGACGAATTTTGCGACGAATATAGTTCGCGGCAAATTGGCGACGAATTTTGCGACGAATAATTAGCGACAAAATTTGCGACGAATTTTGCGACTAAATTTGTGACGAAATTTGCGTCGATATTTACGACAAATTTTGCGACTACATTTGCAACGGAATTTGCGACGAATTATTTGCAACGAATTTTGCGACGAATTTTGCGACGAATTTTGCTACGAATTATTTGCGACGAATTTTGCGACGAAATATTTGCGACGATGTGACATTCCGAATTTCGGCCCATTTTTTGGATTTATAAAACGTGTAATTTGTCAGTGTGCTTATAGTAAAATCTCGCCCGGGAACTGATCACTCTCGGTTATTATTTTTAAATTAGAGATTTCGCTAGAATCGCACTCGATCGAATTTGGTCGTTATTTAGAGCCCAAACTTTGGTGTCGAATTTCTCGGAGTTCCGGGACGAATTTAATTGGACGGTGTTGATATTATTGTGGCCAGCGTCGCTATTGCCAGGAATATGTGAAAAGTGGATTTTTGACCGGGTGCTGATTTGGATTAGTAGACCTCCATCGTAGTGTGTTTTGGATTATTTTATTTTGGTCCTTTTTCCTATATTATTAATTAGGATTATTGTGGACCGTTAGATCGTTTTTTGGGTTTGAACCGTGTCCGTTGGATCGCACTTGGGTGAGATGTTTGACTTTTGACTCTCTCTCTCCTCTCTCCTCTCTGCCGCGTCTGCCCTCTGCTGCGCACGTCTCCTCCGCGCACGTCCCCTCCTCTGTATGTCAGACTTCCCCATGCAACTCTCTCTCTCCTCTCTCTTCCTTTTCTTCTTCTTCTGTCTTCTTCCTTCTTTCTTCTTCCTCTTCCTTCTTCCTCCCCCAGCCCCGACTGGTTCTGCTTCGCTTCTGCCCGAGCTCGCCTGACCGCCGTGCGCCGCTGCCGTCGCCAGCCAGCTCGACCGCCGCACCGTCCGCCAGCCGCCGCCCCCGACCGGCTGGTCTCTCCCTCCCCTTCGCGCCCGGCTTGCTGCTCGAGCCCGTTGCGTCTGTCTCGGCCCGGCGCTGCCCAGCCGGCCGTCTTGCCCCGCTCCGCCACCCAGCTCGCCGTCGCCCCAGCCCAGCCGAGCCGTCGTTGCCGTCGCCCCAGCCAGCCAGCTCGCGACCGCGCCCGCATCTCGCCGGTGCTGCTCAGCCGCTCGCCGGCCGGCCCCACGTCGCCAGTCGCCGCCGTGCCGCCCGTCGTCGCCGTTCCTCTCACCTCAGCCGGCAGCCCCTCCTCCCACGCATCTCTCTCTCCTTCTCATTTCCTTCTTGTTTGGCCGTGAAAGGACAACCTCGCCGGAGGAGCTCCGCCGCCGCCGGAGCCGATTCGCCGCCACCACCACCTCGCCCAGCACCATCCAGCCGTCCCACTTCTCTCTCTCTCTCTGGCCGTGTCTCTCTCTCCCTCTCTAGGCCGTGGAATCGCCTAGACCGTCGTCGCCGCTCGCGCCGTTCGCCGGAGCCGCCGCTCGCCGCCACTGTTCCGGCGCGGGACCGCCGCTGTTCAGACGCCATTGCCACTTGTTCATCTTGGTTTGGAGCCTAGGATTCCAAGTGAATACAACCCTAAATCCTAATTAGGCTAATTTACATTTCTAGATGGGTTTTAGGGGTTAATTAGGGTAATTTAGGGGTTAACGTGCGAAGGACATTAGGGGCTGATATTGTGGCTGATTTGGTGGTTTAGCGGGATCATTTTAATGAGGTTTAGCGGCTTGGAATGTGCTGTGTGATGGCTGGAAGTATTGGATTGAATCGGCCCGAGTTCGGGTCAAGTTCGGGTTCAATTGTGGGTTATAGAGCGCGCCTAGTTTGGTCCTCGTGGTGGCTGATTATGTGGTGAATTTGGGAGTTTAGGGTGATGATTTAAATGTGATATGATGGCCTAGAATGGGCTGATTGGTGGCTGTTTATTGTGGATTCGATTCGGGCCATTATGTGGATTAAATGGGCGCAATGCGTGGGCTGCGAGTTAGGTTGGAAATGTGGTGATTATGAGAGCCTAATGTGATGATTTAAATATGACTTGATAGTCTAGAGTGGGATGATGGTCGGCTGTTCATTGGGGAAATTAATTTAGGCGATTATGTGGATTTGGCGGATGTGATTTGTGGACCGCATGGTGGCTGTTTTCATGGTGATTCTTGTGGTTTAATGTGGTGATTTGGAAGTGATTTAGTGGCCTAAGGTGATCTGGTTGGTGACCGATTAGTGTAGGCTCGATTGGATTATTATGTTGATTAATCGTGGTCTAAATGCGGACTATAATGGGTGCAACAATCGGGCCGTGTAGAGGCTGTTTATGTGGTGGATTTGGGAAGCCTAATGTGATGATTTGGAAGTGGATTGGAGGCCTAGAGGGGACTGATTAGTGGCTGTCCATAGTGGAATTTATCGGGCCTTGTTCGGCGAAACTGAGGATTAATTGTGAATTGGCCATGTGTGCTTGATTTGTCCATTAAACGGCTGATTGTTTATGGCTTGGTAGTGGTTACGTGATGCCAGGATTGAGTACTTATGTGGCCGAGAAAGGATATGCTTGGTGGACCTTAGACTTGTGCAAGTTTAATGGCTTAATCGCGTGATTTTCGTGTGCCGATGATGTACCATGGCTGATTTGAATTAATTGATTGATTGGGCTTGTGATTCATTGAATTGAGCATATTGTGTTGTGAATTGAATAAGTGGCGTTGTGCAATTGAATGCTCATTGTGAAATTCGTGAGTGCCCAAGTGTGAACTTCATGGCCATGGGTGTGGCATGTGCATATATGAGTGTGCACGAATGACATGAGCATGTGATCACCTAAAATGCCCTGATGCGTTTTACGCGGGGTTCAGATAATAATCGGTGATTGTGAACGTGTGATCACATAAAGTCCTGATGCGTTTTACGCGTGGTATTGAACCCATCCTGAGGCGTGTTACGCGGGACGATGCCCGGATTACTGGAAGATGACCAACCTGATGCGTGTTACGCGGGTTATGTGTCATGAGCCTGATGCGTTTTACGCGGGCCGGAGATCGATCTCGAAGTGATGGACCTGATGCGTTTTACGCGGGTCGGAGGAGAATTGATAATTGCAAGTGTGCTGGAGTGCAAGCGTGCGAAAATGCATTGATGAGGCGTGAGCACGCGTATGAGCACGAGCATAAGCATGACATGTGTTGTGACCAAGTGATGTGTGCATGTGCTGTGATTGGGTCCTGTGTTTTATTCTTGAATTGTAAGTGCCTAACTTGCAGGGCAAGGTGAGTATTGGATTTGGACCCGAGGGCCTAAGTCAATTATAGTTTGATTGGTGTGTTGATTAGTGCTCGTCAGGAGGTGCATGTTAGCCTAGCTTAGGTTTAGGGAACTTACTCGCTGAGATTTATTCTCACTATTGTTGAAACTCCACTTTTCAGACCCCCAGCCTTGAGGATGGCAGGCGTACCGATACGTTTTGGGAGGAGCCCCGGCTAGATATAGCGCTTGATCGCCGAGCCACGTACCCCCTTTTGACGTTGGTGGCTGTTGACCCGTTTTGGCTTTTATATGTTTATTCTGTTGTAATAGACATTGTAAATCCCCGTTATTAGTGCAAGTTGTATTTATGGTATTACTGCTATCCTTGGTCATGTGGTTTTTAATTTGTACGGGTGTTTGTTTGCTTCCGCTTGTGCATTGTTCTCTGTTTTGGGTTTCGGGTCGGCGACGCGTCTTGGGACGTCGCACTGAATCGACCTCGGTAGGGTTGTCGCGTGCCATAGGGTTCGGGGCGTGACAGACGAACTTTGCGACGGATAGTGTTCGTGGCTAATTTGCGACGAATTTTTTTTCCGTCGCAAATTTGCGACGAAAATTAATATTTTCCGTCGCAAAAATTTGTGACGACCTAGTAGCGACGGAATTTTTTCCGTCGCTAAATTCGTCGCAAAAATGATTTGCGACGGATTTTTGCGATTTTTTCATCGCAAAATCCGTCGCAAAAAATATGTTTTTTTGTAGTGGAAAAAACCACATTCAAAAGTGTGAAAATGATTTCTTCTTTATTTTCCTTCCTCCTTCTTTCACCATTCATTTTAAATTCTAATATTTTATTTTTTCCTTTTTAATTTTTTCTTTTATTTTTTTCCTTTTTCTTCCTCTTTGATCAGTCGTTGGCCACAGCGAAGGCCACAGTAGCCATAAGCCTGCAATTCAAACCACAAAAGGTTCATTTGTTGCACGAAAATTGCACGAAAGATTTAGTATCGAAAAATGTTTCCCTCACCATAAAAAAGAAGAAGGCCCCAATGAATACTGTGGTGGTTAGGATAATGGCACTTATCACCATAATGTAGTGATTATCATGGTCGGCGTAAGGTCGGATGTGCACTATGGTGAGAATCTCTCCCATGAGTTGTGCTAGAGTGATAGTACCTAAAATTCAAACCATAAAGGGTTCATTTGTTGCACGAAAAATTTAGTATCAAACGATATTTTCCTCGTCATAGAAAAGAAGAATCCCCCAAGATAATGGTAATTATCACCATAATATAGTGCTTACCGCGCTCCTGGTAAAGCGGGACATGCACCGCGAAAAGAATCTCTCCCATGTGTCCATCTCCAAAGAAAGAAGAAGCCCCAAAGGTGCTTAGGATAATGGCAACTATCACCATAATATAGTGCTTACCACGGTCATGGCAAGGCAAGATGTGCACCTTGGTAAGAATCTCTCCCATGTGTCATGTTGGAACGATAGTACCGGAAATATAAATCATAAAAAGACTCATTTGTTGCAAGAAAATTGCGCGAAAAATTTAGTATTGAAAAACATTTCCCTCACCATAATAAGGAAGAAGCCCTCAACGAATGTTATGGTGGCTAGGACAATGGCAACGATCACCATGATATAGTGCTGACCATAATCCTTATAAGCTGGGAAGTGCACCATGGTAAGAATCTCTCCCATGTTTCCACCTCCAAAACAAGAAGAAGCCCCCAACGGATGCTATGGTGGCTAGCATGATGGTAACTATCACCATAATATAGTGCTTACTACAGTCGTGGTAAGGTGGGACGTGCAATTTGGCCAAAATCTCTCCCATTTGATACGCCGGAACGACAGTATCTCCCAAAATTTCTTATTTTAGAATCAGGTGCTGGATCAATTCGTTTTGTAACCAAATCAAGAAAAACTTGTTTTTCCTAAAGAAACAATTAGAAAACCAGCTTCAAGGTTCATTTTACCCTAGAACAAGACCGATAACCCAATTCAACCCTAGAACCAACTCGATTGGTTTGGTTCTCAGATTGAACTGACACCTGGAACCAAGATTCAAACCAGTACTTGGTTCTATAGCTTTTCAAATTAGAGCCTGATTAGTTCTCTCTAGAATAGCATTGGACATGCGAAATGCGAGGTGTAGTTGCCAAGTTGAGCTGAACCCATGTTCTTCTCAATGCTTTCCTCCAATGAAATATGGTATTATGATATGTAATGTGTGATCAAAGACGACAACCATTGAAAAAACTACTATTCTATATAGCTTTGCCCATCCTCTCTTTCTCAAATCTAAACTTGGTTAACAACATCTTTATTTTTCTTTGTCGACACCTTCAATGAAAATACTCAAGCTGTATTCTCGATGACACTGAAACAAAACATGATGACCCCAACACTTGCATTACAAACAACTGGGTGATGAGTGCGTTGCACTGATCTACTACTTTATTCATACAAGTGTCAAACATCTTTGTGGCTTAGGTCGACTTCCCGGCGATGCAAAGCCATTGGTCAACGAAGAGAGCATCGCAATTTAGATTCGGGTTGATGAAGTGGAAGGCTTCGGGAGTCAACTTGAACTGCTCTGCTATTGCAAGGCAAGTGTCTCCACTCTTCACTCCCACCACTTTGTCGCACACCAGGCCAGGTTTCGCATTTGGAACCCCTGTAAACCACCATGCATAAACCAAAGAGTTGACATATGATGCTAATGAAGACGAATGACCGGGAAAGAAAAACTTTCAGCTACTGATGTTGCAGCTTCAAAACGACTATGTTCAAAAACCGGTCGAAAGGTCTTGTAATAACGTATGGTCGGCCAACGTTCTGAAGTAGAAAGCAGATCCTTACGTACGATTGAAATTTGCAAAATAAGATGTTGAAGTATGTTGGAAAAGAATACATTATCATTAATGGGTAATAGTAACGCATTACTTACTTCCAACAACTCTGCTCTCGACCACGGAGACCATGAGGACGAAGAAGAGTATCAAAACCAAGTTGAAGAAGATGGTGGACTTGTGACCGGTGATCTTGGCCATGCTTTTCAACTCTCTAACTTCTTTGTATACTGAGTTTGTGAGAGATATGCCTTGTGTGTCTTTCTATTTATAGATGAAATGAGGGCATAAGACAAATTACATTGTTACGAAGCAACAGAATGAGCCGGCTTAGTGCTATTTTACTCTTCAATGCTTTGGATTACACGCTAAAAATAAGCTTAATTATGATTATGACATGAGGTGGAGTATACTACCTATGTGTTTCTCCGTAATTTAATCCGTAAGGAAACAAACACCGAAAATTGATCTTCGGCTTTTAATTGAAGGACGGGTTCTGTGGTGATTTGATAAGAAATATCCAAGCGATCATAAAAATCAACGTGGAATTGTACAAACCTAAACCAAACCGGAGTTTGACTCGACGGAAAAGTTTAGGAAATACTATCGAAACAAACTTCGACGGAATTTGACTCGAGGACGAAGCTTGAAAGAGCGGCGGTACTACGCCGGGATTTGACTCGACGACGAAGCACCAAGGATGAAGATTCATATCGGAGGATGACTCGGCGACGTGAATCTGAGCATTAGAACTACTCCTAAAGAATTAAAGCTTGTAAATTGCAGGAAAATAATGGCCTTGGCCAAATGTAAAGGTACGAGTGCAGGAAATGTAAAGATAAAAGAAAGATAAACTGATAAAGAACGTGAGTTCTGTTGTTGATTTGGGGGCTCTTTAAAATACAAACTTGGGATATTTATAATCCCGTACAAGCGTTTACAACTTTTAAATTTTAACTGTTTTCTCTGCTCATCGGTAATTACTTCGGGATGTTGACACCTCCTTCTCGTTACTTGTCCCACCAATTATGCAGATGATAACCCAGAACACCACCAGGATGGTCAGGATCAAGTTGAGTACGTACCTTCATATTTCCTCGAATCAGCCACATTCGTCCCACTGGGCGTGCCAATTTGTTTCTCCGTAATTTAATCCGTAAGGAAACAAACACCGAAAATGGATCTTCGGCTTTTAATTGAAGGACGGGTTCTGTGGTGATTTGACAGGAAATATCCAAGCGATCATAAAAAACAACGTGGAATTGTACAAACCTAAACCAAACCGGTGTTTGACTCGACGGAAAAGTTTAAGAAGTACTATCGAAACAAACTTCGACAGAATTTGACTCGAGGACGAAGCTTGAAAGAGCAGCGGTACTACGCCGGGATTTGACTCGACGACGAAGCACCAAGGATGAAGATTCATATCGGAGGACGACTCGACGACGTGAATCTGAGCATTAGAACTACTCCTAAAGAATTAAAGCTTGTAAATTGCAGGAAAATAATGGCTTTGGCCAAATGTAAAGGTACGAGTGCAGGAAATGTAAAGATAAAAGAAAGATAAACTGATAAAGAACGTGAGTTCTGTTGTTGATTTGGGGGCTCTTTAAAATACAAATTTGGGATAGTTATAATCCCGTACAAGCGTTTACAACTTTTAAATTTTAAATAAAAAGTAACTTCCTAACGGTGGTTATTATTTTCCTATTTTCTAGGTACTCTCCACGTTCAAATAACCACCCTTATTCATAAGCAGTTTTGTTATTGACATCTAACTATCGGTAAGTTGCTGATGCCGATCCTCTGCTCACCCACTATCGGTAAGTTGCGAACTATCGGTAAGTTACCGACGCCAAAGCTCCCGATGCCTATTTCCATGATTTTTTTTTCACTTTTTGGTGTAAACACTATGTGAGCATTTCTTTTCTTATTGTCAACTGCAACAGTTAAACTAACAATGTTCTTAAATGAAGAATCGTCACTACGCTTGCATTTTCATGCCGACGAATTATTAGGATGAGGCCTTCATGTTTCTGATTTTGCAGAAAAATTTATGCCTTATCTATGATAGTGTTAAAGTATCCCATGTCGCGGCCAATTCACTTGAGCTTTGGCTCGCATTTGACGTAGGCAGTGAGATTACCAAGGTATTTCCATTGATCGGCAGTTCACCCAACTGAGAAATGATGTTCCTTCTCTCCAAAGAGGTTTAAGATGAGTAGGAAATGCGTTAATTTCACCTAACTTTCTTTCGGTAAGTTCAGTCGATCCTTCTTCATCGTTAAGCTCCAATCGTACCATAGAATTACAATTTAGTTTATTTTTTTGGATCAAATACGAATACTTACATATATCATAAACTGGACTTAGCTAGCAGGGCCCAAGCAAGGGGCGTCGTTACATAGCAATGCCCAAAGGGCCTGAGGAGGGGAATAGAGCCAGTCAGATGGAAGACATTTCTTTCTATGAGTCCGCGCTACCCAATCAGCCACATAATTTGCAGTTCTTGGACAAAATTTCAGGCGTACACCCTGTACCCTTGAAAGTAGATAGTAGCATTCCGTTATAAGGGCCGTTACTTCCCAGCTGATCTCTTCTCCTTGCCTCAATGCGCTTATCAGTTCTATACGGTCCGACTCCAGTTCAACTCTTTCAACTTTGTTCCGTTCAACGTACTTGAGGGCAGCGAGAAGAGCTGGGGTTTCGATTTGTGCCGGGGAGGATGCTCGGACGTTCTGGACGAATCCATCAACAAGGCAGCCGGAGTAATCCCGACAGATGAAAGCTATCGCACTGTCCGTCGATCCTTTGCCAAGAGACCCATCGATGTTGATTTTCAGGATACCCTCCGCCGGGCCTGCCCATGCTTGCGCTGAGGTAAGATCTCCTCTCTTTTCTGCGGTTTTTGCTCGAATGCTCCATTTTTTAACACTTTGATGCATTATCCAAGCTGATCCCACTACTTCTTTTGCATTCGGTTTAACACCTCTGAAAATCTGGTTGTTTCGGGCCTTCCACACCTGCCCAATTATACCCCTCTTCAACCACCTATCTGTTCTGATGTTAACCTTTTCTCCGTTTCCAATTACCCATATCACTGAGTTCAAGATCGCTTCTCGTCCCTTCAAGATACTTTGCCAACCCCAGGATGGTCTGTAGCCTTTCTCAGCATGCCAGAAGTCTTTACGATAAAAATACAATCCTTTCAACAGCTTTACTCCATAATGCATCAGGATTTTTAACTAGTCTCCAAGCTTGTTTCCCCAGTAGTGCTTTGTTGACACTAATTAAATCCCTGAATCCCATTCCTCCCTCATCTTTTCTGGTTTTCATGATTTCCCATCTTTTCCAATGTAAACTAGCTTTTGATTCACTGTTTTTCCACTAGAAATTGGCTATCTTTCGCTCTATGGCTTTACAAATCGATACGGGTATCTTAAAAATAGACATTACATAATGTGGTAAAGCCTGAACCACAGTTTTCAGCAGAATCTCCTTACTAGCTTTAGATATAATTTGTTCCTTCCATCTTTCCAGCTTCATATTGACTCTCACTAAAATCCAGGCAAACATCTGTCTCTTGGATTCTCCCTAATCAGAGGGGATACCAAGGTACTTCCCTATGTGATTCATTTCCTGTATTCTCAATGTTCTGGCCATATTGTCCTTTAGCATCTGAGGGCAACCCTTGCTGAAAAATATACCTGATCTATTCAGGTTTATGGCTTGTCCGGAGGCATAGGAATACTGGTTAAGCACAGTTGAGACATTTTCACATTCATGAATGGTTCCATTTAGAAAAAAGATAGAATCATCCGCAAATAATAAGTGGGTCAGGGTTGGACAGAACCTGTTCAACTTGATTCCCTTTATATGTCCATTGGTCATGGCATTTTCCATCAGGGAGGATAAGCAGTTTGTTACCAGAATAAAGGGGTTAAGGTGATAGGGGATCCCCTTGTCTAATGCCTCTAGTGGGGTGAAAGAAGGGGAGAGGTTCTCCATTCATTTTCACACTAAAAGATACTGTAGTCACACATTGCATTACCCAACCAACCCATTTTTCACTAAAATCCATTTTCAGCAAACATGCTTCCAAAAAATCCCATTCCACTCTATCATAGGCCTTTTGCATATATAATTTCAGAACAGCTTGAAATTTTTCTTTCTTTTCCCTCACTCTCAACTGATGCATCACCTCTTGTGCAATTAATATATTGTCTTGAATTTGTCTCCCGTTTATAAATGCACTTTGTTCCTCAGAGATCAATTCAGGCATCCAAAATTTGAGCCTGTTTGCCATTACCTTCGAAATAATCTTATACGCAAAATTGCACAAACTAATTGGGCGAAACTGCTTGAGTCTTTCTGGGTTAGAGATTTTAGGTATAAGGGTGATATGGGTTCTGTTTAAAGCTGGCTCCAAGATTCCTGATATGAACAGCCTATTTACTGCCTCGAAAACATCCTTTTTTATTACTTCCTAGTGGTGTTGATATAATATTCCGTTTAAACCATCTGGCCCAGGAGCCTTATTTGCTCCTAATTAAAATGCAGCAGCTTTGACCTCTTCCATGGTTAATTCTGCCTCCAGAAACATTCATTTAATCTCTGACTCTTTTTGGGCATAGATTTAGCACTGGCCGACAATTTCTAGGTCCAACGAATGTGTAAAGGTCTCGAAAGTAGGACATTGTCAAACTCTGAAGATTCTATTTGTCCCTGATCCAGTTATCTTCCAATGATCTCAACATTGAAATTCTGTTTCGTTGCCTCCTCTGGATAATGGTGGCATAGAAATATCTAGTGTATTTATCCCCCCATTTCATCCAGTTTATTCTAGACCTCAATCCCCAATACATCTCTTCTCTCCTCTATAGGTTTTCAATCTCCTCCTTGATGTTTTGTATCCTGCCACTCTCCTGCGGGATGCTTGTACTGTTCGTTAAGGCCTGTAACTCTTGCTTGAGTGCTTTAATACATCGAGAGTTGTCGGTGAATTTTCTTTTACTCCAATATATCAATGCTTTGACTACAGCTTCCAATTTTCCTTTAAACCCAGCATCTTTCACCGATTGTTGCTCCCAAGCCTCTTTGACCACTTCCTTACACTCAGCATCCTCTATCCAAAAAGCCTCAAAACGGAACTCCTTTTTTCTCTTTACTGGTTCTGATATGGTCAGAACCAATAGCCAGGAGAGCAAAGGCTTCAGCTTCAGGGTATAAAAGTCTCCATTCCAAATTGCGTAAGACACTATCCAGTTTCTCCTTAACTAAATTTGTCCCTTCCCTATTATTTGTCCAAGTGAATTTGCACCATTTACAATCAATGTCCATCAAAGAGCAATCATTTAAACAGTCTCTTAATGCATTCATTCGGTAGTATTCAGCCATCCTGATTCCCACCTTCTCCCAATGATAAAGTACTTCATTAAAATCTCCTAAACAAACCCAGGGGAATGCATCATATGAACTGATCTGCCTCATTCTTTCCCACAGTCTCTGCCTTTCCTGAAAAACATTTGGAGCATGAATAAAGGTAACTCTAAATCTGGTTATGTTTTCATTGTCTACACAAATCATTTTCAGCATCTCTTGGGAGGTTGACTCTACTATGACTTCCACTGACTCATTCCAAAACACAGTTAAACCCCCCGTAGTCCCTCTTGGGTTCACCACATAACTAAACTGGAACTTTAGACTATTCTTAACTCTCATTACTACATGTTGTTTATTCTTTGTTTCCACGAATAGAACCAAGTTGGGCCTTTCTTAAGCCACTAAGGTTCTAAGAGCCTGGATTGTCAGGGGAGAGCCCAGCCCCTGACAATTCCAGCATATTATCTTCATTTGTACCCCGGTGACTTATTATGGCTAGCCACCAAAGCCCATATTTGAGCATCTTCCACTGTTTGGATCGGAGTGTCCAGTAAGCCGGCTTTCTCCAGCGAATTTTCCCCAGTCAGCTGAGTTTGATAAGGGGAGTATCTCTTCAATTTCTCGCTAGCTTGGGTTTTAAGGCCTTTCCCCTTCTTCCCTTTCTCATTTTTTGCCTTGTCATGCTAGATACAATCTTTTAGTACTCCACTTCCGATTAGCAATTCAAATTGTGGAATTATAGGTGTCCTCTTCATCATGTCCCAGCTATTTTCATTGACAAGGACCTCTTTCCTCTTTTTAGATAACCTGCTGCAATTCTGATTTGCATTGGCATCTAGGTTATTGTTATATGCTACCATTTGTCCCGAATTGATCAAAGTTTCTGATTCGCAGTCCTCGTCCGTTAGTTCCTCTATAGGTTTATCATAAAAGAATTTCCAACGAGTGGAAAATAGAATTCCAACGAGTTGGAACATCTCTTGGAAATCTTCTTGGCCTTTTTCCATTTGCTTTACAAAATTTACTTTATTCTTTCGGCAAAAGGACACCAGAAGTGCCATAAGTTGTGTACGGAGGACACTTTGGTGCCATAACTTTTTTTCGGATTACTTTGGTGCCAAGTCGGAGGAAAAGAGATCACTTAAGTGCCAATTTGGCAGGAAATCCGACGTGGCATTTTTTATTAATTTCTGACGCCGACGTGGCTCGTCGGAGGATGAGTTAGCTTGTACAGTCAACATTTTTTATTTTAAATAATTTTTTTCCTTTTTTTCTTTTTTTTCCTCTTCTTTCCTTTTTCCTTTCTTTTCTTTTCTCCCTTCGCCAGCCGGTTGTCGGTGGCCGGGCTGGCCACCGGCGAAGCCCGGGAAGGGCTGGGCGAGGGCGGCCTTGCCCATGGCCGGCGAGGGGCGGCCTTACCAGATCTGGGTGAGGCGACCCTCGCCGGCGATAGGCGAGGCCGCCCTTCGCCGGCCATGGGCGAGGGGCGGCCTCGCCCATGGCCGGCGAGGGTCGCCTCGCCCAAATCTGGTGAGGTCGCCCCTCGCCGGCCATGGGCAAGGTTGCCCTCGCCCAGCCCTTCCCGGGCTTCGCCGGTGGCCGAGCCGGCCACCGGCAACCGGCCGGCGAGGGGAGAAAAGAAAAAAACGAAAAGAAAGGAAAAAGGAAAGAAGAGGAAAAAAAAAGGAAAAAAATTATTTAATAAAAAATGTCACGTCGGATTTCCGGCCAAATTGGCACTTAAGTGATCTCTTTTCTTCCGACTTGGCACCAAAGTGATTCGAAAAAATGTTATGGCACCAAAGTGTCCTCCGTACACAACTTATGGCACTTCTGGTGTCCTTTTGCCATATTCTTTCATTTTTTGGGATGTTTCCATAAAAATTGAATCGCTGTTTTTATTGGTTCAAGAAAAATATCAAGAGTTTTCAAACCATCTTGTACACATAAATTTAAAACATGACAAGCACATCTAACGTGAAAAAATTTTCCGCCAAAAGCGGGTTTACAAATATTTTCTAAATTGGCAATTGAAGCGGTATTTGCCGCGGCATTATCAAAACCAATTGAAAAAATTTTGTTAAGCAAATAATATTCTTCTAAAATTTGCCTAATTATTCTATAAATATTATTTGCCGTATGCCTACCGTCGAAAACTCTAAATGCGAGGACTCTTTTTTGAATATTCCAATTGTCATCTATCCAATGACATGTTATGCCCATGTAAGAATGAATTTGTCAATGATCACTCCAAATATCACTACCTATATGCACACATCCATTAAATTGCATAAAAAAGTTTTGTAAATCTTTTTTTCCATTTTTGTAAAGATCTTTAATTACTCGTTTAAGTGTATTTCTAGGAACACGTTTTGCTTGTGGAGCACAAGCTTTTTGTACAAATTGATCAAAACCAAATCTTTCTCCAAAATTAAATGATAAATGCTCAACGGAAACAAATTTACCTAATTCTTCCTTATAAGTTTTTTCATTAAAACGAAATAAAGGAGAAGTGTTAGGATTGACGTACCCGGAAATTTGTCGTTGCTTGGTATCGATTCCTGCTTCGGTTGGATGTTTGCTCCTAAGATGTCATTTGAATGTTTCATATCCTTGTCCGCCTGTATATTTATATGTTGCCCCACAATGTTTATATATTATATCATACCTTATTGGACCAATATCAAACCTTTCCATTTTCGTGAAGTAGTCCCAAATGTCGGATGTAAGTTCCCGCTCCGCCTCCTTTGTTGTTGACATTTCGGCATGAAGACTTTCTTGTGTTGGGACGCGCTCCACGTCGGGAAAAATGTTAATTTCATCATCTTGAAAATCTACATAATCACAAGGATCAAAAGAACATTCGGATTCCGTCATTCTATTCTTACCTTTGCCAGTTGCCGTTTGACTTCCACTTGTCATTTTTCGAGTGGATTGAAAGAATTGAGCAAATTGATTGGGAGAATTAAGAGAGAATTACGCGGATTGAAAAAATTGAGAGAATTCGGATTGAGAAAATTGAGAGAATTTCAGAGAATTGAGAGTATTGAGAAAATTTGATAGAATTTATAAGAAAAAAATGAGAAGGAAATTTGGCCGTTGGGAATTT